GCAGCATCAGTATGGATGGTGAAGAGATTGAGATAGCCAACATTTATTTGGTTCCACAGTCAACACTCTTGGTAACAGCAGCCAGGAAATCAGGAGACAAATTGCATTGGGAAAGTCAGCTGTGAGGGACCTCTCCAGAGTACTGAGGTGCAATGATGTCAGGCTGGAGACTAAGGTGTGCCTGATGCAGGCTATAGTCTTTGCAATTATGTGCTATGCATCGGAGAGTTGGACAGTGAATAGGGATGATAGAAAGAGAATTGATGGCTTTGAGTTGTGGTGCTAGACAAGAGTGCTGAGTATACCATAGACTGCTAAAAGAACAAACAGGTTTGTCCTAGAGAGGGTGAAACCAGAATGTTCCCTGAAGTCAAGGATTCTGAAGCTTCATCTGACATAATTTGGGCATGTTGCAAGGAGGGACTGGTCCTTGGAGAGGGACATCATGTTTGGGAGAGTGGAGGGACAGCTCCAGAGAGGAAGACCCTCAATGAGATGGATCGATTCTGTGAGTGGAGTGGTGGGAATGAATGTGTTTGAGACAGCGAGGTTAGCATAGGATAGAACGGCATTTAGGGCTCTTGTACATAGGGTTGCTATGAGTGGCAAATGACTTGATGGCACATAACAACAACAACAACAACAACGTAGTTCTTCTTGGTTGTCAACTGCCTTGTTGCAGCAGATGCCTGCCATCTAACTTCTTCTCTTCTGAGGGCATTTTTGGTGAGTTCTGCAGAGTCCTCATTATACTTGCTAGGGTTTGTTCCAATGATTGGTCCACTAGGCCAGTAAATTATTTTTTTAAGTTCTTCTTTTAAAATTTATTATTTACGGAGACTTTGGATTTCCATTCATTCACTGTTGCACCTTTCTCCTGTCCCAACCCTCCCCCCGCCCCAAGTCCACTACCCTCTTGGAAAAGCAAAAGAAAAATTATTTTATTGTTTTACAATCCCTCCTCCCAGGTCCACTACACTATGCAGCCTTTGCTGTGGACTCCTGTCATGACAAAAATACCTAATCACATATCCCTTTTAAACCATTTTCTCCCTCATCCGTTTCAATGCAATATACATTACTAAACCCATCTTTCTCAGTCTCTCCCCTACCCCAAGGTCAGTCCTGTTTTACAACAGTGGCACCATGTGTATTTGTCCTTTTGTGACTGAGATACTTCACTCAGCATAACGTCTTCCAGGGTTACCCATTTTGAATAATATTGCATGAGTTCTTTGTTTTTCAATGCAGCATAGTACTCCATTGTGTGAGTATACCACAGCTTCTTTATCCATTCATTTTTTGATGGGCACTTATGTTGTTTCCAACTCCTTGCTATTGTGAACAAAGCCGCAGTAAACATGGGTGTGCATATATCTGCTTGGATGTCAGTTATGGTCTCTTTGGGGTATATTCTCTGTAGTGGAATTGCTGGGTCAAATGGTATCTCTATTTGTAACCTTTTGAGAAAGCGCCATACCGCCTTCCACAGTGGTTGCACCATTTTACACCTCCACCAACAGTGAATAAGTGTTCCAGTTTCTCCACAACCTTGCCAGCATTTGTTGCTTGCTGTTCTGTTAAATTTTGCTATTCTGACTGGGGTGAGATGATATCTCATAGTTGTTTTAATTTGCATCTCTCTTAGAGCTAGGGATTTTGAACATTTCTTCATGTGCTTATTAGCCATCTGAATGTCTTCTTTGGTGAAGTGTCTGTTCATACCCTGTGCCCATTTTTCAATTGGATTATTTACCTTTATCTTGTTGTGATGCTCATTCTGGATAGAAATCCCTTATCTGACATGTCATTACCAAATACTTTTTCCTAGTCTGTGGCTTCCCTTTTTACCCTTTTGGAGAAGTTTTTGGATGTGCATAGGGATTTGATTCTTAGAAGGTCCCATCCATCTTCTTTATCTTCTCCTGTTTGTAGGTGAGATTGAGATTGTTAATAATTACAGCTTGCTTGGCTCCACAATCAACACTCTTGGCACCAGCAGACAGGAAATCAAAAGATGAATTGTATTAGGTAAATCTGCTGTCAGGGACCTTTCCAGAGTGTTGAGAAGCAACCATGCCAGTCTGGAGACTAAGGTGAGCCTGATCTGAGCCATGGTTTTCACAATTAAATGCTGTTCATCAGAAAGCTGGACAATGACTAGGGATGATTAATGGAGAATTGAAGCCTTTGAGCTGTGATGCTGGAGAAGAGTATTGAATATACATACTATGGACATGTTTGAAGGATGGAGAGAGAGGCACAAGAGAGGAAGACCCTGGATGAGAAGGATTGACTCACTGACTAGGGTAATGGGGGTGGTGCGTTAGAGACAATAAGGTTAGCTCAAGATAGAGAAGGGTTCACAGCTGTCGTACATAGGGTCGCTATGAGTTACAGGTGACTTGATTGCACATAATAACAATAACAACAAACAACGGGTATGATGCTTAGTGCTTTTCACACATTATGTAGTGAAGCATCACTCCCCTTCATGATTGAGAAAACTGAAGCTCAGAGTAGACAGCCTGTACAACCTTAGATGCTTAGAATCTCATTTAAATCTCCATCACAGCTGCTTTTCACCACGGGGTGAAGCATTTGAGAGGGTGAACTGGAGCATAGTTACAAAGGAAGAAGTAAGACTTAACTGACTTCTTCACATTCTGGTACAGATGCTTCTGAGTCTCTGGAGTAGGGTATGAAACTCACTGTCAAGAGGCAGCTCTACAGCTTTCATTCTAGATGACTGCTGCTCTGACAGCCTGATTGAGATGTGCTTCCAAGTTAGTGTGAGCAGTGGACTGCGTCTATTGTTGGGCTGCTCTGCCTTCACAGAGAATGGACCGTGCTGGATGGGGACTGGGAGACACTAGAGAAATGGTCAGTGGAGAGGGCTTGTTCTGTCTGCCACCATAGTGAAAGTTCACGCCTGGTGACAAGAGAGAGGAGTCAGAACCTAAAGGCCTTGCTTTAGCTGGGTTGCCTGGCCTGTCTGATGAAGCAGGCCACTCACACATTTGAGGACAAGTGACTGAAACTCTCAGCTAGTGGGTGTAACTCTGTGCCTCATCTTTGTAAGATGAACTAACCACAGAGGCTACCCTCCACAGATATATTGCCTTTCTATGCAAATAGCATACACATTCTATGCTTTTATGAACTGCACAACTCCCTCCTGCTTTAGTTCCCTTTGTGCACTATTTGCACACGTGTGTTATTTACGTGGATGAGCTTTATGTGTAAAATACACTATGGCAAGAGGAGAGACAAGATGTCTGTAAAGTAGCACATAACACGATATGCATCATCAAGAAACTCCCAGCGAGGGGTCAATACATTTTCCTGAATGTGTAGTGAATGGAAGCTTATTTCATAGCATGAGAGATTTTGTGGAAAATACTTTTATAGTTTTTATATTTTGCTGACTAGAAACAGTAGTCATGGGAAGACATTGGGGGGACCTGGATTTGAGTCCAGGCTCTGCCCTGTATTACCCAGACTAACTTGCTCAAGGTGTAGCAGCTCAGCTTCCTCACTGATGAAGTGTTATGACATAGTCCTGATGAGCATGGGACTTTGAGTTTAGATTGCCTTGATTTGTATCCTGTTATTCATAGCTGTGTGCCAATAGGTGACTCTCTTAAGGCGGCTGTACCTCAATTTCCCTATCTGTAAAATGGGAGTCATTATATATCACAAAGAGTCGTCAGAAGTATGGAAGGAGTAAATCTGTGGAAAAACCCTTAGAATAATGTCTACCACATAGTGAGTGCTCTGTGTACAGTTGTTTTGTTGCTATTATTAATGAGGAGAGTGCTATTAATTTTCTTGTAAAGATTAGGGATTAGTGGGATCAAATCCTGGCACACAGTCTACCCTCAACACAAGTTAATAGCTCTCCTTGTTATTGTTGAAGTGCTGGTGAGTATAAGGAACTCTGGTAACATGATGTGCTGTTGACTGAAGGTCAGTGGTGTGAGCCTTCTAGCTGTTCTGTGGGAGAAGGAAGGGCAGTCTTCTTTATATTTGTAAAGATATAGAGCCTTGAAAACCTGGTGGAGAGTCACTGTGAGTCAGAATTACTAGAAGGTGAGTATAGACCTAGAGGAGAAGAGAAGGGAATTATAATGTGTGAGTAACATTAGCAAAGATAGAAGGCAGCAGTGTGCTCTGTGTGAGCAAGGAACAGAAATGACTTGGCTCAGATCTTCAAGAGATAAAGGATGATCTCTTTCTTCTGATTTCTCAGCTTCCTGTGGACCCTTGAAATCCATTACAAATGCAGAGTTTCCTCAACAGGACTCTATGACCTTCTGCATTTTCTGCACACAGGTTTCCAGGAGGATCTGCTCTCCTCACCAAGGATGGGTGTCCAGGGTATGCTCTGCTTCCCCCTGGGGCTCGCGTTTGGCTTTGTGTTCCTTGTGGCCTCTGCTCCAGCCACTCTCGAGTCCCAGGGCTGCAACAACAAAGAGCAGCAGGTCACCGTCAGCCACACCTACAAGATTGACGTGCCCAAGTCCGCGCTGGTGCAGGTGGAGGCGGAGCCTCAGCCACTTGGTGATGATGGGGCTTCACTCCTGGCCCCGGGGGAGGATGGAGAGGAACAGAACATCATCTTTAGACACAACATCCGCCTTCAGACGCCACAGAAGGACTGCGAGCTGGCAAGCAGTGTCCAGGACCTGCTAGTCCGAGTGAAGAAGCTTGAGGAAGAGATGGTGGAGATGAAGGAGCAGTGTAGTGTCCAGCGGTGCTGCCAGGGCACAACAGGTGGGGTTCATTCAACTGATGTCAAATGAGAACTGTGTCCATGGCTGCATGAATGCACTGAGTTCTTGTCGCTCTTTTGGGGTTTTCTCGGGGGGTTGGGGGGATTGTGCTATCTGTTCATTTATTCATTGGTTCTCCAGGAGGCACAAGGAGCATGAGGAGGGAGAGGTCAATAGTTTCTGAAATGAATTTAGGCTCCTGAGTTAAAGTTTCCAGATGAGAACCCCCCCCCCGTTGTCATTGTCATTGTCATTGTGTGCCATCAAGCCAGAACCAAGTCACAGCTGACCCTCTAGTGGGTTTTTGGAGGCAATAAATTGCACTGGAGGAGATTGCTCATCTTTCTCTCATGGAATATTGGTGGATTTGAACCTCGTACCTTTGAATTAGCAGTGCAATTCCTTATCACTAAGCCACCAGAGGTCCCTCTCTAGTGGCTTAGTGCTAGGAAATTGTGCTGCAAACCCAAAGGCACGAAGTTCAAAACCACAAGCTGCTTTGTGGGACAAAGATGGATAATCTCCTTCCATGTGAGTCACAGACTCTGAAGCCACGGTGTAGGGTCAGCTATGAATTGGTTTCAACTCAATGACATATAACAACAACAAGAAGAGACCACCAGAGCTCTCTTATACCTCTAATCAAAATGGAAGCAATGAATGGAGAGGAAAGATTGAGAATTTTCAATTTTCAAGCTATAAAAGAATAGGTTGAACTCTGTTATACCACTTTTCAGCTTTGTGACTTTGGGTAAATTTTTCAAGTTCATAATAAATCTTAGAGCTAGAGATGTCCTGCCCTTAGTAGCCATTCTGCAAATTGTAGTTATTTTATCAGTAATCAAGCACTACCATTCAGTTTTGCAAATAGTGAGGGTTCCCTCACGCCTCACTGTTAAAAACCAAGATAAAACAGAAGCTGTACAGACTGAGGCAAATGACAATGGATAGTGCTGGGCACCTGAAGAAATTGTTGCCTGTAGAAGCACCCACTATATGCCAGACACACAACTAAGCTCTCAGGACACCATCATGAATTGAACAGTGTGGGCATTGCCCTTGAGGGAATTTGGAAGTATTTCGAGGGAGAAAAGAGTGTTCTGAGAAAAAGCTGGGGCAGAGAAGAGGACTTCAGTCCTCAACCTGAGTTGTGTGTTGGGTTTTTTGGGGTTTTTTTTGTATTCTCTCATTATCTGTCTGCTTATCTGTCTATCATTTATCTAATCTATATATTTTATGTTATTGTGTACTGTGGAGTAAGAACTGACCCATAGCTGACCCTCCAGGGGGTTTTCAAAGTCAGTTAAGCCCATGGGGGGAGATTATTCATTCTTCTCCTGAGGGGTAGCTGGTGGCCTCAAACCACCTCTTCAGGATTGCAGCGCAGTTTCTTCACACACACACACACACACACACACACACACACACACACTTTTATTTAAAACTATAATTTTAATGGACTTACTAGGTGGTCAGAGCTACACACACACACAGAGACACACACTTATTCAAAACTAATTTTTATGGACTTACTAGGCGGTCAGAGTAACACACATACACACACTTTTTTATTTAAAACTATAATTTTTATGGACTTACTAGGCAGTAAGCAACACACACACACACACACACACACACACACACACACACACACTTCTATTTAAAACTGTAATTTTTATAGACTTTGCAAACATTTTTTTTTTTAAATCTTTCTCCCCTCCTTTGCTTACCTCTGTTAATTCTCCAAGATCGGTTCCTTCGGTGTGTCAGTCTTTCCTTGGTTTTTAAAATATTAATGGTGTTAAGACTGTTAGAGGGAGCTCTGTGGCCTAGTGCTAAGGAACTGCGCTGTCAACCCGGAAGGCGCATGGTTTGAGTCCCCCAGAGACCGATGGGCAATCTCCTCCCCATTTAGTAATACAGCCTCTGAAAGCCCACTGGAGGGTCAGCGATCAAGTTGTTAAGAGTCAATTCAGACTTGAGGACACATAATAATAGACTGTAATTGTCTCTGGGTGTGACTGACTGACATCCCTCAGCATAATTTGTTCTCATTTCCTCCATCTGAACTTGCGTTGTCTTTCTTTCCCAGATCTCAGCCGTCAGTGCAGCGGCCACGGGACCTTCTCACAGGTGACCTGCAGCTGCCGCTGCGAGCAGGGCTGGGAGGGCGCCGAGTGCGAGCGGCCCGCCTGCCCCGGGGCCTGCAGCGGTCACGGGCGCTGCGTGGACGGCCACTGCCTCTGCGACGAGCCCTACGTGGGGGACGACTGCGCCTACGGCCCGTGCCCCGAGGACTGCAGCGGTCACGGCGTGTGCGTGCGCGGCGCCTGCCAGTGCCACGAGGACTTCACCTCCGAGGACTGCAGCGAGCGCAGGTGTCCGGGAGACTGCAGCGGCCACGGCTTCTGCGACACCGGGGAGTGTTACTGCGAGGAAGGCTTCACGGGCCTCGACTGCTCCCAGGGTGAGGTGTGAGAGTGGACATGCGCCCGGCACCCCCAGGCTCCACGGGAACCTTGAGATTTATGCATTGTCTCAGGCAGGATCATGACCTTGAGTTGACAGCAGAATACTCACTCAAAACTCAAGACTCATTGGCTGACTCATAGTGAACTCTGCAGCATCCTCCCCCAACACACACACACACACACACACACACACACACTGGAGGATTCCTACAGCTGGAGAGGGTCACATTTGGATTAGCAGTTCAGCTTCCTATGGACGAGGTCTACAGGACTCCCAGATTCCCCAGAACGGCTTGTTAAAACACAGATTTACCGGCCCTCATCTCAGGGTTTTTTATTGTGCATATCTGGACTGGACCCTGAGAATTTGCATTTCTGACAAGTTTCCATCCAAGAAAACAATTTTGATCAGGGGTCAGAACAGCGATGCCGGTAGAGGTGATATTACCCAGTGCAGTGACTTGGGCGGCCACCTGCAAAGGGCCTCCTCCTGCACCAGGCCGGACAGAATCCTTAGTAATGCTTACTGCCTATTTTAATCATAGACGAGAATGTGTTACAGTTATCAATAGCTTAGGTGCAATATTCCTTAGATTAGTGAACATTGACAGCAAAATTGTGTTATAAAATCTTTCCAAACTAAATTACAGTATTATTACTTATAACATTATTAATAACTAAGCCTTAAAATGATTTGTCCCTTTAATTATGGCTTAATTCTCAAATAAATTATTAATAGTGGTTCGCTGATGCTAAATGCCGCAATTTTGTAGCTGAAATACTTGATAGTTTGACAAAATTAGTGACTCTCAGTTTCTCCCCTCAGCGACTGTGCTTAAAGTGATCAAAGGAAACTTCCTAATTTGAAGAGTCATTGTAATTAGGGAATAATGACAGCTCTAAATGGAGCGGATTAGTGGATGTTCAGAGGCTTTAACTCATAGGAGAGGAGATGATTGTCCATCTTTGTTCCGTGAAGCAGCTGCTGGGATCGAATCCAGTGCCTTTGAATTTACCTACTAGGTCATCAGAGCTCCCGAAAGTTTTAGCGTTATTGGTGCAATGTTACATTATATAAGCGTGGTTTAGGAAAGATATTTTTTATTAGAAGTAACTACAGGGATATTTTTACAAAAATATTTGTGTTAGAACACAAAAATTGTATGTAATCATTTTGATCGGATAGCGTCACCTGGTGATGCGTCATCCTCCACCACTCCTTTAGTGAGAGAACTGGGTGAGGACTTGGTGAACTGTTGACCTTAGACGTGATCTGATGGCTTGCATTTTCAGTCAATAGTGCCTTCCAATCAGATAACTGGTGACTTCTTGTGGGGAGAAGGAGAAAGGTGCTTCATCCAGGCTCTACCTGTGTCCTCCAGGGTCACCAGCATGGTGCTGTGTGTATTGCACAGCATTTGCCATAGAGTAGATTCTGATTCATGGCAACCCCACTGTGCTCCACAGGCTTTTCAATGGCTGACTTCAGAAGCAGGTCAACAGGATTTCTTCTGTGACACTGGGGGTGGGTTTGAACGTCCAGTCTTTGGACTGGTGGCCTAACCATATACATTGTCCTTAGACTAACAGCAGGGAGCTTTGTGGCCTAGTGGATAGAGTTGAGTTGCCAACTCAAAAGTGGGTATCTCAAATTCACCATTTGCTCTAAGGAAGAAAGATGGGGAGTTTCCTCCCGTGCAACTTACAACCTGTAAAATCCAGCTGGAGAATCAGCTGGGGATTGGCTCCTACTCAATAAGCGAGTAAGTGGGTGAGCGGGACTAGTAACAGAATCCTGGTGGCACAGTGGATTAAACACCAAAAAGTTGTGGTTTGAATCCATCAGAAGAAAGCTGAAGACAGTCTGCTTCTGTAAAGATTCATAGTATCAGAAAGTCTAAGGGGCAGTTCTGCTGTCCTACAGTCTCAATGCGGGTCAGAATTGACTTGATGACATTGTGGTTTAGATTTTGGAGTGTGGGGACTGACTAACAGGTGTTCAGTATATACTCATTGACTGTGTACTCTCTCCCCTCTGCCCTCTCCTCTCTATTCCCCCTCTTTCTGTAGTGGTCTCCCCACAGGGCCTGCAGCTGCTCAGAAGCACAGAGGATTCCCTGCTGGTGAGCTGGGAGCCCTCCCGGGATGTGGACCACTACCTCCTCAGCTACTACCCCATGGGGAAGGAACTCTCGGAGAAGCAGATTCAAGTGCCCAAGGAGCAGAACAGCTATGAGATCCTTGGTTTGCTACCTGGAACCAAGTACGTAATCACCCTGCGCAATGTGAAGAAAGAGGTTTCCAGCAGCCCACAGCACCTCCTTGCCACCACAGGTGAGACCGCGGCCAGCTGGCCATATTTCCCAGGAGAGGCTCCATTTGAAGTGTCTTTTTCTTAAATTGTACCTAGTGAGGTCAATGCCTTGATTTGGATTTTCAAAAACATGAATACTACTTACCTAGTTCTATAGGACAGTTCTAGTTATCTGTGCCCTTGCCCTGTGCCTACAAGCCAATGATGGCAGCCTATTTATTGATGCTCCAGGGGTCCTCTCTGCCCCTAAGATTAGTAAGACCTGATTATCTTGATTCTAGGCAAGCAACTATACAGCTATGGTCCCAGACCCTCTCTGAGCCTTTGTGACCACTTAGCAGGTTGACAGTATAGGGAGGGAGCTTGGGGTAGGTGTGTGCTGAAGCAACCTGCAGCAGTCAGATTTGTAGGAAACAGCACAAACTGGGCAATGAAGAGAAAGAAATGAAAAGATGATTTCTAAAATGTAGCTGGAGTTGTAGCCTCAACTGGGGATGCAGTCCATTCTCAAGTGACAAGGAATGGTACCCAGAGAGCTGTAATAGAGAGATGCTTGTTGGGTGCTTTTGGTAGGGCATTCACCAGACCCTGGCAGGGAGGAAGTGAGGGGAGAAACTGTCCTTATGGGTCCTTCCTCCTGCCCTCTAATGCTGGTGACTCTCACGAGAGGTTGAACCCACTCAGAAGCCAAAGAAAAAGGGAACCAAGCTGATGTAGTTCATGAAGACCCCCTCCACCTCAATATATAAAGCAGGATGGGAAACCGTGGAGGCTGGATCTGAAGGAGCATATAGGGTATCAATGTGCTGCCAAAGCATTTGGAAGGACAAGCATCACTGTTTACTCATTATAAATTATGGTTTCCTCATAAAAACTTTAAAGCAACTTAGATTTTCAAGGATTTGGAGGATCTTTGCTTCTGTGATTATGCTTCATTCCTTCAACCAGCACATGTTTACTGAGTATCTACTATGCCATGCTAGGAACTGCTCTAGGTGCTTGTTGAAATGAGCTGCTTCCGTTCTTCCTTGAATTCCTGGAGAAGGATCCAGAGAGAAGGGCTTTGGCACTCAGAAATATCAGAGGGGTCAGTGTTGCAAAGGTCTGTGAGGGACTGGGTATCCTGTGATTGTCACAGTCTGTGATTGTCTTGTCAGTCCCCCCTAGAAAGAGACCACTAGGAACATATTATAATTGGACGAGTTATAATTGGATTTATTGCTTATTGCTGTGAGAAAGAATCCACACAGTGGGGAACCACGCAGTGGCTCAGTAAGGTAGTGTTGCTTTAATGTTTAGTGCATAAATTAGACTAGATTAGTAGATTTAATTAGAATAATTTAGATAGACTAGATGGCCAGTCCTGCTTCCTTGTCTGTGTTAGTCTGGAAGCTCTGCTGAAACTTGTCCACCATGAATGATATTATTGGTATTTGAACTACCAGTAGCATATCCACCAGCATCAGAGCAATATACAAGCTATGGCAAATTGACAGATGACTGACACAAAAGTAAACAATGTAACGCATGTCAGAGAAACTTGTGGTATGATAGGGAGAGAAGCTAAAGAAGTAATGTAGTAAGGGAGCTAAACACAAGCTTTCAAAAGGAACTTGAGAAGATGAAACAAAGTATTATAATGAAATATGCAAAGACAGAGTTATAAAACCGAGAGCTCACTTGGCATTTCTCAAGCTAAAATAACTAAAGGGGAAAAAAATCAAGCTGCAATTCTGAAGGTTTCTTTGGAGCAAAGTGTTGAATGATGAAGGAAACATCAAGAGGAAGGAAAGGATACACAGAGTCACTCCCAGAAAGAATTGGAGCCATTAACAGAACCATTTCAAGAAGTAGCATATTCTCAGGAACTAATGGCACTTAAGGATGAAGTCAAGGCTGCAGTGAAGGCATGGACAAAAACATAAGCCTTCAGGAGATGACTGAATGCCAGCTGAGATGTTTCAACATGTGCAGCTCTGCAGACACTCACTAATCTAGATCATGAAATTTGGAAACAGGTACCTGGCCAACTGACTGGAAGAGATCAATATATGTGCCCATTCAAAGTAAGGTGACCTGATTTCTTTCACCTTCCTTGCCTGCACCTTTTTAGAGCTTCTAACAGCACCATGTTGGGGCAGAGCATGCAAGGGCTTACCACACCTCTGTGATCTGTAGAAGTCACTGGAGGAGGGCCAAGGGAAGAATGTGCTCAGTTCAGTGGAAAACAAGTGGCAGTTGTTAATTACGATGACTGTATACTTTGGATCTGGATGTGCTGCACCTTTCTTTATAGTAAGACACCAGCTACTTAAGAAACAAGGATGTTTCAATTTATCCATAAAATACATAAGAAGAGGAGCATTTTAAGTAGTTCAACCTCTGAAGAATGGCTCAAACTCTGTTGAACACATAGCATTCTGCTTATGTTTGTAAGTAAACTTAACTACAAGAACGGTAACGCCTCTTCTGTGAAATATGGAATGTACTAATAGATAGTGTGCTTAATTTTTACTTTTGTAATATTCTAGTATTAGTGGTTGCTTTATGGAAATATGTGTGTGGTTTGGTTGTTTCCTGGTCTTAAACTGTGAGATTTTTTTTGAAAAGATTTTTTTTTAATTCCTAGGTAAGAACCTTGTTGATAGTTTTATTCTACAAAAGAAAAATACAAATTTGGTTTTGGTTTTCCTGTAATTCTATAGCTGGGTTTTGCTTTTTTTCCTCTTGTATGTAAAGGCAGAAGATTTACACTGATGTAAATTGGGAATTTTCCCTCCATGTGTGATGACTAATTATTCATGAGGAGAAACAATAGTGTATATGTATCCAAGTTTGGCCAGTCAGATTTCAAAGAGTTTCATTTTATTTAGGTCTGTAACTGAAAACAAATTTTGCCTTGACAACTAACTACTGACCAGTGTTGATTTATTTAGACCAAATAAAGCTAGACTGTTTAAAATGAAAAAAGAGGGGGAAAGATGATCTAACAGAAATGTGGAACTTATTGAACCATTAATACCATGTTTTTACTGTGCACTACTGAGCCCAAACTGACTCAAACCCAATGGGTTTTAAGAAGCAGTGAATCACACAGAGGGAGATTAAACATCCTTCTCCTATGGAACAACTGATGGATTTGAACAATGTGCCTTTGTGATTGCAACGCAGCTTCTTACCAATAGGCCACCAGAGCTCCCTATTAATACCATACACGAATAAAATCTTGGTGAATATTATTTAAAAATGAGTGGAGCAGTATATCAACATGGGACTGCCAGAATTTCAAGCTGGAGTCAGAAGAGACCAAAGAATAAGAGAGATAATTGCTGATGTTAGATTGATCATAGCTGAAAGCAAATACTTTCAAACTTGTATTTTATGCCAAGGCATTTGACTGTGTGGCTCATAATAAATTATGGATAGGATTGAGAAGAATGGATAATCCAGAACACTCAGTTGTGCTCATGCAGAACCTGTACATAACCCAAGAAACAATCATTTGAGCAAAACAAGGAGCTATTTAATACTTTTCAATTAGAAATGTGTACATCAGGGTTGTGTCCTTTGCTTTACTTATTCAATCTGTATGCTGAGCAAATAATCTGGGAAACTAGTCTATATGAAGAAAATTGTGCCATCAGAATTGAGGAATACTCATCAACAGCTTGTGATATGTGGATAAACAACCTTCTTCTTTTTTTTTAAATTTTTTTTTTTGCATGTGTACCGTCAAATCAGATCTGACTGGTACAGGAGGAGACTGCCCTTCCTTCTCCAGCAGAGCATCTGGTGGATTCGAACCGCATACTTTTGGGATTACAGTGAAGTTTCTTGCCACTAGGCCACCAGAGCTCCCTGATAAACAACCTTCTTTGCTGAAAGCATATAGGGTTTGAGACACTTACTGAAGAAGGGGGGGGGGAACAACCCGAATAACCTCCAGCATGGATTATACCTCGATGTTAAGAAAACAAACCCCCTCGCTATTGGACCAATAGGTAACATCATGAAAATTAGAGAAAAGATTGGAATTATTTATCAAGGATTTCATTTTACTTGGATCCAAGAACAAACCCCAAGGAAGCAGCAATTAAGAAATCACATGATGCATTGCATTGAACAGATCTGCTGCCAAGGACCTCATTAATGTGTTTAAGAATCAAGATGTTGCTTTAAAAACCAATGTGTGGGTGCAACCACTGTGGAAGGTGGCATGGCGCTTTCTCAAAAAGTTGTAAATAGAGATAACATTTGACCCAGCAATTCCACTACTGGGACTATACCCCAAAGAGATCATAACTGTCACCCAAGCAGATATATGCACACTCATGTTTATTGTGGCTTTGTTCACAATAGCAAGGAGTTGGAAACAATCTAAGTGCCCATCAACAAACAAATGGGTAGAGAATCTGTGGTATATTCACATAATG